AAAATTCTATTATGTTTGCCACGTACGCGCGTCGTCGTCGTGGGGTGTAATCCAAGCATATTTTACAGAAGAGAAGAGCCGATATTCGGCGTGTCACCGGGGCGGAATTGTGCGGGACTCGCAAAAGTGGCATTCGCGCTTGCGATGCATTCTTTGCGCGCTGGTTTCTCAGTTCCTGAAATGCACCGCTCGGGGAGCGACGCGTCCGTCAAAATCTCGATTGTCGACGTCTGTTTCCGCAAAATTTGTGCCGCACTATCTTTTCGAGGTTTCAGACGTACATACGACCCCGAATCGTTTCTTATCATGTATATATATGTCCCGTATACCTCGAGTCACGCGCTCTCTACGATTTTTCTTTTTCCGAGTCGCACATTTTCCGTTGCTTTTCTTTCCCGACGACGCGCGGGAGGAGAGAAACATTTATTCCCCAAGCAGACCGCCAAGTCGTTCAACGACTTCTTCCAACGACAGTTTCTTCTTCCTCGATAATCTTTCATGATATAGCCCGCGCCAAGTAGTTTACACTATACCTCGCTGGCTGACTGAGTGTGTGTGTGTGTGTGTGTGTGTGCAATCTGCTTAAGTTTCCAAAACGATGCTAAAGTAATTTCGTGGGCCGCAACGTTCCTGAAATATGTGCTTCGCAAATACATAAATTGCGCGACTCGGAATATTTCTTGTTGTGTTATTATATTTCTTAACGGTTTTAATTTTTTTAAGTATGGTTTTTTAGAGGAACAAGCATCGAAATTATTAAAATATGACAAACTTCAATATCTGTGATATGACATGATAATACGATGAAAAGAATTTCTTTATTTCATTTATATTGTCATAAAACTTATATTGTCAATTCGCGATGTAGCAACATTTTTGTGTCGCAGCCGTAGTTACCACGAGGTTCGTAATCTTTTTGTAAACGTCGTATAAAAAAGAACGTCGTTTTTCCCTTCCGGAATGTCATATTTCGTCGCAGGACATTCGATGTGCATATGTTTTGCCAACATCTTCGTAGATGACGCTCTATTGTATCCGGTGGCTGAAAGTCTCCGAGTTTTTCATTTTGTTTCTTTTTCCAACCACCTCTGCTCTGTCCCAACTCCACCGTCCCAGTTGTTTGAACAACGAGGGGTGGATATTATTCCCGCGGGATCTTTCCAGTCGTCTTACGACTTCCTTCGAGGGTAGTCTCTTTTTCAGGACTGCGCGCCGTACTGAAAGATACTTCTTGCAAAATCCTTCCTGTGATATTTAATATCGAAAATTATTCACCGAGAATTTAAAATGGTGAATTAAAAACTTTTTATATATGTAAAAAAAACTAGACCACGTATAGGAATTTTTAAATTTAAGAATTAAAGACTATTATTCATGTAAAAACTGTGTTCCACACATATTTTAATATAGCTTTTATTAAGATTGCTTATTACCTATATATAGAGAGAGATTGTGCGACGTAGAATCAAAGGATATTAATGAAACATTAAATGAGAACTTGCTTCGAGCTGTTTAATTTTATACGGCGGTTTAATTGCATTAAAGAGACAAAGTAACATTGTTACAATATTTTACGATTTCTAAAAGATAATGCATAATTAATCTAAGTATTTTATATTTTTCTGTGCTTTATATCTTTTCTCTTCGAGATCTTATATCTTTTTTTTTTTTTTTTTTTAAGTTCTTACTTTGATGCATTTTCCGGTCAAACGTGTTGAACTTGCTTTAAAGACTAAGCGAATATTATTTCAGCGCTGTTAACCACCATTATGAGACTCTCGCCACAAGAAAGATATTTTTGTCCTCTCTTCCTTTCGCGAAATATTACTTCAAATCTTAAATAATACGAAAAGCGGAAGTAGCTTCTTGCAGCTTTACTAACTGCGCTTAACGACTATGGGCAAAGCAGTATGAAAATTTCAACAATATCCGAGCGTTCTCACTCGACGCGGTCGCTATTATATTATAATGGCGCGACACGGATTTTACATTAGCCGTTACAGAAATTAAATTAAAAGTACTTCACACATATTATAACGATTCGATCGGATATGGTTTCTCCTCGCTTGAACAACGAAACTTCGATCACTTCAAAGAAAGGATCACTTACGTTCAAAAAAGATCGTTTCTCCGCAGTTGGCGGTGAGAGTGAAGACCTTTCTTTCTGGCGACGGGTGTTTCTCACGGTACGCGCTTCGCCACGTCGGAAGATTCCAATTCGGCGGGGGTGCCAACGCTCGCGTAAGATGTAAATAATGTTTTCGCCTCCGGTGCATTCCGCATGCATCGAAAATCTGAGAGAAACGAATGTCGCGCGCGTATCCACGCGCATCGACCGCGACATCGTCAACGTTGTGTGCCGGGGGAGGGTAACACATCTCGGCACCGATACATCCATTTCCGTGAAATTTTCGAGCGCATACCGGCTCCCAGGAATTCTCTCGACATATGTCTTCCAACACGATTTCCTTCTCTTTCGTACGTTCTCTCGTTCTCGCTCTTTGCGTGGGTATATATATATATATATATCGCGAGAGCACCGTCGTCGACTCTTAAACCCACGCGATCCCACTTTATTTTCCCATTCGCGACCATTTCTCTCCTTCATTCTCTCTCCGTCCCGAATCCAAGAGCGGTTCCGGTTGTTTGAACAACGGCGCGAATATTATTCCGCCGATTACGTGCGACTTTTCCGGCTGGAAAATTTCCTTCGCGATTTTCGTCGCGCAACCGGCAGTTCGTCCGCCGACACGATGGTATTTCTTCCGAGAATTATAGACATGTACGTAGAGCGAGTCCGTGCGCGCGCCGTGTCCAAACTTTTCAACGCGAAGACAATTCTCTCGGGCGTTCTTCCGCTCCGCAGTGCTCTCTCTTCGGCTCTTCACTTCGACACGCGAAGCGAAGTACGCGATCAAAATTTTCTTATGTCGCAATGACGCGAAGAAAACTTGGCAACGCGAAGCGTCACGTCTCTTCGGAGAAGTGCGCGAAATGCAGGTCAAGAACGATTTGCAAAGGTACAATTCTCCAAGTAATTGTCCGAGCGCTTTGCTCCCGCTGTTTAATGTATTTCTTTTCTCTGATGCTTATTGCAGATACAACACATAGCCTATTGTTATTTTATTTCAAAAAAAAAAAAAAAAAAAGATGATTGGACCAAATCTCTTTTATTGTCAATATGGAAATTTAAAGATATAATAAATTATGTCGAGATGAGAACATATTTAAAACATGACCTTCGCAACGAGGACATCTTTTATCTACCTAAGCCTTTTTACCTCAGAAGGTAATAAGGGTGTATATATATAAGCAAAAATATTTTTATAGCATCCCGCAGTGGCGGAAGGGCTACGAATAATTCAGATGCTCGCTAAACCTTGGCTTTTATCAGGCGACACAGAAATGAGAAAGGGTTAATTTGCAAGTTTCATAGAATTCTCTCTTTCTCTTCTCTTGAAGGCTCGAAAGGCTTATCGCAATAAATAGCTTAGATGAGGGCGGCTCGTTCGACCTTCCCCGTAGGCCTTTCATCTCGCAAAACTTGTCTCGTTCGCTCCCGCTCTTTCTCTCCGGCACAGCCTAGGGGATACAATGTAGAATCGTTATCACTTTATCAAAGTCAGTGGCTGCGCTCGCGCCGACAGGAGAAAGACCGCGCTTTCAACCGGCCGTATCGTTTATTAACGGCTTAACGGCGGGCAACGTATATTGCATTAAGGTACGAAAATACCGCGCCGATTAAACTGTTAGCACACGCTGTAAGTAACAAAACAGAAAAAAAAAAAGAGATCATTCCGTCGTGAACAACGCGCGAACAAAAAAAACGGGCTTGCTTCTGCGACATATTTAAAGCGCGGCGCCGTGGTAATAGGATAGCGACGCGACGAAAAGCAGTTTAGACGAGAAAACAAAATCCTCTCTCTTAACCCGTACGGTTTCCACCGATAAATTTTTTGGTCAAATTGCATTCGCATGGTAATTTGATACCTCACGCGTGTGTGGCCATTTGCACATACATAAGTTAGCTCTAACGTAGGTAGGTAGATATTTCTACCACTGGAGCGCGCGAAATAAAATGGCTGATAAAAAATTTATGCAAAGCGACACGTATGAGGAGTCGTCGGTTCTGTTAATTCGCGTGTCACGGATTATTGACGCTTGAATTTTAAGCGCGAATTTCGAGGGCAATAGGTCGAAAGGGCAGAGACAAACGCCGACGGTGCTTATCGAACGCGCGATATCCGGTTTAGTCAGCTGAAATCCACTTTGAAGCGCGTTCTCGATCGGCGACCGGCTTCACATTGCTATCGAGCGATCCATTCCCCATCGGGAGATCGCGATTTGAATGGTAATCACCCGACGCGCGGGCGATACGTAAGCCACTAACGTCTTCCATGCAAATAGACATGACTTTACCTGTCCACGCACGTATGCGTTTCCCGCGAGTGCGCGGCAGCACATCGAGCCCTCTCACACGACTCGCGAACACGAGGATATATGTATATCTACTCTACCCGAGACGAGATTGCATTTGCCGCAGTGCGGGACGGAGATATGTTGTACGACCTGTTCAACGGTGTACTTTTGAAGCTCCGTTGTTGCCTGCACGAGAGTCGTTCGCACAGTCTTGCGATGGTCGTCGTGTTTCTCCCGTCTAAAATTACCGGAATAAATGGCCGAGGGCACGCACTGCTTTCTGCCGTGCTTAGCCCAAACTAATTGTTTGTTTTTTCTTGCCCTTTCTCGCGCTTGGCAGCTAAATTGTATCTTCCACAAAGTGGCGCGATAAAACCGAGTAAAAATGTAGGAGACATTTTTCAACAAAGCATCCTTAATAATAAACGCTTATATCTCTATTTTTTACACCCACTTTGTTTTAATCAGTGTAATGATATTATTTTTGCGACTGTTCTATGTACGTACAGAAATTTTGCCACGTTTGTAAAAATATGTTGTTACAGTATATGTAATAGAAAATATTGTAATGATGTTTTCAGAGTGCATCGCGTACGAATCGCACGTTTTCGTGGCGGATACCTCGCAAGAACTCACAATGAGAACGCCGGAAATCGGTGGTCCATACTTCGACCCAACAATGATGTCGAACATCACCGGTTTGGCTGGAGAAACGATTCAACTGGCGTGCAAAGTGGAGAATCTCGGAAACAAAACGGTATGTTTAAGATACATCTCTTTTATCTTTTTTGAAATATATTTCTTTGTTTCTATATAAAAGAAAAAATTAATTATTATTAATATAATTTTACAAATATAAAACAATAGGAAAAAACGATTCAAACAATCGAAGTTTATTATAATTACAATCGCAGAATTAAAGGGATAAATTAAATGTTGTATTTTCGCACGTTGAAATTATTGGCTCGCTTACCGTAGAATTAGGCGCCTCTCGCTGAGCAAATCTTAAACCTGAGAGACAGAGTATTTAGCGCACGCGCATATATATAGACATACACATACACACAACTCAGATTTCGGCAAGAGATATTGGCAGGTAAACACGACCGCCGACACGCCGCGTACAACGTAAGATAGACTTGTTTGAGTGGATGAAGGATTGGAAAGCAATGCACCGAGACGAGATCGACATTTTCGAGATGCCAAGCGAAGGAGAAACGAACGGCATCCATCGTCCGCGGAATTAACCGGAAAATTATATGAAGAGAAAATACAACACAAACATAGAAAAACATTTTTATATTTTACTATAAAGTCAGTGTAGCGAAAAAGAAGAGAAAGACACGACGGAATCTTGCGCGGTTTATAGTCAAGTACGAAAACTTTGCGTCATTTTATTCCAGGTACGTAATTTATTGCAATCGCGAATATAAAGGAGACCCCAACTTCTAATTAGACTTCGACAGTTGTTAATTAAGTTAGACCATTTCGGTCGTTTCGCAACGATCCTCGTAAAAGCAAAATTTTTCGCGGTTAAATCGGTGTTTCGAGTGGGTGGATAAATTAACTGGAAAGGCGGACACGATCCTTGGGGAATTTATCTTCCACTCCGGGACCTTCGGGGCGTCCTCGAGTATTAACGGTTCGTGGCACTACTACTTCGGGATTATCGTAGCAGTTAAGTAGAAAAGGACGATCTTTGTCGGGCTACGTCTTCATGCAGACTCGGTCGGGAGAGGTCAGAGTTTTAATCCCGGCGCTCATCTCTATGCAAAGCCCGGTCTTCGCAGCAGCGTCAACCTCAACTACGTGTGTATCATTTAATACGTTCCGTTAACATTATGCGTTTATCTATACGCTCTTGTAAGTTAAGACACTTGGAAAACTTGCCATTCATAAACATCGATCAGTAACCGAGACACGCTGTAAAAAACGAGACGATGTGTTTACATATACGATATATTTATATACAACATGTACGATATCTTGTTGTCGTTGTGTGGACTTAAACCGATGGTGACGATGCACAATATTGCATTGTCGGTTGCGTGAATATATATCCGTGTGCACACGTGCGCATACGTATAAGAGCATGTAAATTAGTGCCGCGAAGGAATGTCGGTGAAATTGCGGTTGCACGCGCGGGCACCGAAATTACCCGGGGAGAGAAACCGTCGAAAACGTCGAGGAAGCACGAAGATATGAAGAAGCCGAAAACGATGAAGTTACGTGAAAAAGTTGCGCCCGAGGCGGGACCAGGCGGTGAGAATAAGCGCCCACACCAGGGACGATATTAACTCCGGAAGTCGGGTTCCTTTCTCACGGTGCATGCAAAAAGATTTCGAGAGAAAGAAAGAGCAGCAATCGCCCTTATGGCAGCCACGGTGCGTTTCTTGGATTTTATCCGCTCGCATATTTCTCCGCCGAAGCGGAGCGCGCACAGCCGCGTTCTCCCTCTCTCTTCCTCTCGCGCGGCTGGTCCCGTATCGTGAATTTTATTACGCGGAAAAAGTTTCCTCCGAGTAGCGGCGGCGGGCCGCCTGTTAGACGACGGTGGTGCGCGTTCTTTTCTTTTTTGCGAAAAGTATATTAAGCACGCCGGCATATTCGAGCGACAATCGCATTATACCCGGGCTCTCGCACAGTTTATATTTCCGATTATACTCGAGCGCAAATGCGCGAAATATAAGCTTTAGCTCGGGCTCGATCAACGCCCGCGTTGATGTATACGCGCGGCGCGCATTACACATCGCGGAATACGGAAAATAACATTTACGCTCTGTTACCATAAATATTAGTTAATGTAGCAAAGCTTCAACTGATTCCTCCATGTCCGCGTACGTTCTCTCTGCGTGCGCGGTAGAATGGGGGATAAAGATTCACTTACACCCGCGCTAATTAATGTTTATGGGAGCAACGTTACAAGGCGAGTGTTTTGAATGCAGACGTTAAGACAAAGGCAGGCAGATTACTGTGTATTATTAAGCGAATCACGAATTAGTACACAATGATACGATTTCTGCAAATATGAGTTTCATTATCCGTAACTGAAATTATCTGCATGCGTGCGTTATTGCCGCATGAATAAACGCTTGGATATTTCGCACTGAGAAAATTAGAGGGTGATATTGTTTTCGATTTAGTCGTTATGAATGTAGCGAGCGCGCGGTATTTAAAAGGAATATGATTTTCATAAAATCACGAGCGAAATCTACGGGTGTAAGCTATTAAATCGCAGCAGTAAAAACCATTAAAGTTATTAAAGCGACGGGTTTCGGTCGTTAAAGGCGCAATTCCCGTCTTGTCCGCACGGGAGGATTGCTCGGGTTATACGAATGTTATGACAGCTCCGAATCATCGGTCGGAATCTTGTTCTAATTAACGGCTTTGTGAACTCTGCAGCGTTATCCGAACTTGGCAAATGTCATTTTACACTCTTCATCGGTCATACTAGTTCATTTCGCCGCTATTGGATCAAAGTAATGAACGATGTAATATCGTAACGAGCGTCGCGTTCACATTTCCGCGAGATATATTATCGATATATATAATTTATATAATAATACAGTTTATTACGATTAATAAATTTCCGGCACAATGGCTGTTCCCCTTCTCTCTCCCCGCCCCAGTCATAGGAACGCGTTTCATAATTTCCCGCGAAAGCTATGCGAGCAAATTCGCCGCGCCTATTCGCCTATAAATAATTGCAAACTAGAGGAGTCGTCGTTGCGCCGAGATTGTAGTCGTACATCACACGGGGTTATACAGCATTAAACAAAGACATGAAGTATTCCAGCTGCGGCGAATCTACTGCACTCGTAAATTTCTCGGGGCTAGGAAAAGGGAGAGTATAAAGTTTTATCGTCCAATCTTATGAGCAACAGGGCGTGAGGAGCGGTGATAGTTAGCAATACGTGCTGCTCGCGGTAGGTAACTCAAGATTTCTGCGTTAAGATTGTAGAGAAAACCAACATACTTTTCCAACCTGTTGTTAACCACGGTAATAAAATTTGAAACGCGCTCGTAAATACTTTCTTCTTATTTGACACGATGAAAATTTGACGGAAATTAGTAGTATCTTTTTAATATTTGGATCTCGCGATTGTGTGTGCTCAGATCTCGTGGGTGAGACACCGTGACATTCACCTGCTGACAGTTGGTCGTTACACTTACACGAGCGATCAGCGTTTCGAGGCGATGTACAATCCGCAAACGGAGGAATGGATCCTCAAAATAAGATATCCGCAACGAAAGGATTCCGGTATCTACGAGTGCCAAATATCCACAACACCGCCCATCGGCCGCTCTGTTTCTCTCTCCGTAATCGGTAAGTTCTGTCATATAGTGTTAGAAAATTCCAAAACTGACGGCTATTGTAGTAGTACCAGAGATAACGTGAGAACTTGCGTGGTAATGCCGTGCATTAAGTGATAAATATTTTGTAATTATTGACAGTACTCGACAATACACAGAGAAACAAAACGAAGCATGACCATCTTATACACAATAGAATACACATATGAGAAGTGTGAGAAATAACGCATGAAAATCAAACTTGAAAATTAAAGAAAAGAAAAAGTGGAAAAACAACACGTGACGTAAAGTCACGTGACCTATATATAAGTTAATTTGTTAAATTTTTTCCGTCTCTGCTACCGTGCTTCTTGAGTAACCTTAATGTGTGATTTATCAAAGTAAATTTTATTAAATGATGTGCTTTGTTATACTCGAAGTTTCTCAGTTGACATTTAAAGCGATATATTTTTTATATAATGAACGCGGTATCTATAAATATTCATATCGCTAAAAAGTATGCAAACGAGACAAAACAACATTTTTCATGAACAGAAAGAAAGAACATTCTTACCTTGCTCAAGATATTCTTTTAATGAAGGAATTGTTTATTCAACTTGCTGTATAAATAATTCGGATTGATATTACATTCTTTTAGATAAATGTCTTGAAAAGCAACGGGAGATCTGGTCTAAACGATTACAAATGGCTTCTGCATAAATCTAGAAAAACGTGCAGATCAAATTGTTATTTAACAAAGATAGAGCGTGTCGAACAGAATATATCGGAACTTTATTTATTGTCGCCAATAGTCATCTCTCACTTGAACAGAAAATCCGTGTTAATTTCGACGGAAGTTCTTTCTTTGATTTATCGCGATTAATCAGACATCGTGACGAAGTTTTCATCGATCATTCTGAATAATCCAAATTATGTGAAACAGGTTTCGAAAGAAAAAATCACAGAATGATCTTTTAACTTTTTCTCGCTCAAACTTTGCTGATCATTTTAAGCACTGCGAATGGTAAAAGTTAGAAGGTAGTAAGTAGGCCTCACGGGAACGGTCAGACAATCGAGGGAATTGTAAATCAATGCGAAAAAGTTACTTGGGGAAATATTACTAGCGCGTGCGGCAAACAAACGTGGACACATTGACCACGATCTACGAGGAGCGAACGATCGTACTTTTGCATGTGTCAAGTGCGAAAATATATTGTACGTTCCGGAATGGTGTGACCTTTGGAACGAACGGATAAAATCTTTATTTTGATTTGCATACACATAAGTCGATTATAGCTCTGTGATAAGCGTTTTCTCAAGACAAATTGAATTCGTAATTCTTCACGAAATGTTTTATTAAAATTTTTATACGCGTCTGTATATATTACCACGAGCTACATACAATAATTTATCGAGCACAGATTCGGAAAATTCTTTGGTTTGAAAAATCGAGGAGCATCGCGACTTTATATCTCGTGATTGAAATGTGATCTACAGACGAGATAAAAAAAAAAAAAAAAAAAGAAGTTCCGCCAGAGAAGAACATCGAGAGAGGCAACGAAGGAACGATCGGCATTCGTGTCTCGCACGAACAAATCAAGCGACAGACGTTTTCCTCTGTGACATCCGGATTCCCTTGATGGGTATCGATCGAATCCTCTGAAATTCTTGGTCAACAGAGCATCCTTCCTTTGATTCATCAAATCCTCGAGTTGGCGGGAGCTTATCGTGATTCGTCTTTGAGGGATAACGTTGTCAAGAACCGGCAAGGCGTTTTCACGAACACGAGTCACGAGCGTGGCCAATTATCGCGAAGCTAATGAAGCCTTTTTTCCTCGAGAAAAGAGGGTGGGAAGGCTCGAGAAAGAAGAATCGACGGCTACTTTGCCGATCTTCTTCTTGTCTCCTGACTCCATCCATCACAGCGTTTTACTCCTCTCTTACCTCGCTTCTAGCTCCTTCTTCTCTCCTCTATCAGTTGAAGCCTGTCATTTTTTTTTCTGTCAAATTTTCCGCGTGCTTCATATTTCTCAGACGTGAAATTACTAATCTTATCTCTGATGTTCTCGATATTATTTTCTTGTAAATGTTAATTTTAGATCATGTGAAAATTGTTAAATACTAGGTAGTTGTGTTAAAATTAAAAAGATTTGCGTTTGTAAAATTTCTTCGGTAAAAGAAAACTTTTCGATTTTTCAAAAAAGTTGGTTAAAAGTTCGATCTCGCAACTTTCATCTTTTCTATTATTCCTCGAGGAGAAATTGCACGATCATCGCAGGTTGGCCAGAAAGCGAATATCCGTTCAATTTTCCGCACGCTTACTTGTTTGTGTGTATTTCGAATTTTACGAAATGGCGCGACGTGATGACGCGAAAAAGGGAATAAATTGCGTCTGAGCGACGTGACCCGTTTGTAACTTCCCTTCGATCTTCGTCCATTTAATAAAGACAGCGAGCCGGGGCGACATGGAGCAGATCGAAAAACAATAGTCGACCTTTCAGCGGCATTCTCGGCACGCGATGCCCGTGAAATTGTGGCGACAAATTGAGCCTTTCCGGGGAGCGAACGACTCTTCTGCGACGTTGCGTTTCTCGTTCGCCTTCCATCGCGATCCGCGTCGACTGCCTGAAAAGACACCGATCTCTCGCTGCCTTTTCGCGGACTTCTTTTAACCACTTCTTTCGTCTTTCTTTTCGTCCTCGTCCTCATGTCGCTGTCGGTGCTTTCCGCTGTCGCGATTGATGTCGCCCAGGGCTTACATCGTTTGGCTTGAAAGCTCGATTTTTAAACGGTTCGACGTTTACCGTGAGAGGTGGCGTGTAAAGATCGTTGAAGTTCTATCTAGTAAGAAATTCAAGAAAATTGCGAAGCTATATACTTGTATCGATATTGTATTACGCGCTGTCTGTCACACAGTCATGAAACAGTGATAAGAATCACGTAAGTCGCGTAATTATAGATGTCAGTTTGTACATTTATTTGCTCGTCGTAAGATTCTTTTTTCGCTAATTAAGAAAAAAGAAAGAAGAAAACCATAAAGAAAAAAAACATTAATTTACTTTCAGAAAATTTTGTTTTTTACTTTTTTGTAAAAAAAATAAATTTTTTTGTCAAACTGATTCAAAGACATCTTGACGTTCGGCGCTTCGGAATAAAAGAAATATCGCTCTTTTGAGTCGATGATGCTCACATTTCTTCTCCAACATCGTCTTCGGAGTCAAGTTTTCAACTCGAATTCCTTAATTGCACAAGGAATGAACAGCTCTTGTTCACTTTGACGATTCTCTTAACTGCTCGCTTTCGCCCCCTTCATTTGTGTTATCGCTCGCATGACGATCGCGAGCTGGAGTAGCACTATCATCCGTATAAAAGCAGGAAGCAATTCGTTACGCGAGCGTCGCGTCGTGCCGTTTGCCAATGTTAACGGCCAAAAAGTCGTCTTTGTTACCGGCCACCTTTTTCGCGGTGGTATTACACATCCTTTTATCTCGAGGTCGCTTGCAGTTCTTCTTTATCTTCCTCTCTATCTTCCGCTTCATTTCATTGCCATCTAGAAAGGCAATAAAAGACATGAAAGTTTTATCTTTTCATTTGCTCCTCTCTCCTCCCGTCTTCTTTCCTCTGTCCGGAGTTTTCTTTTCCCAGGCTCGTCGCCAGATCGTTTGATAATCAAACACAGACGCTCGACATTGTAAGTACCACGGACGGTGCTCTCTTGTTAAAACCGCTTAAATAATTCGCCGGATCGATAAATCAGTTATTTACATCCGGTCCCGTTCGTTAAGTCGTCGTTAAGTAGCGGCTTGAACGGGCCGCGCTGTTCATTTCGTGATAGAGACGAGTGCCGCAGCGCTCGCAATCCACTCTCGTTACGTCGATTGAACGACTTACTACGATTGTGCCGCCAAACGGAGTTAACGAATGATTCATTTGCATCGAAAGCCAGCGCGACGCGCGTTTGTCTACCGTCGGCCCATTCGGCACAATAACACGCGGTGCTTTCTCGTTCTTTCTCGAGTATTCGAATTGACAACTGTTCTCAGACGCGCTTTAATTGATGGAGAAAGTTTGTTGTCGCGCACGATAATCCCAAGTTGGCTCGACATCAACGAGTTGTAATGAATAATTAACATATAGAACAGTCAATTACGTATTTGTCTTTTCGTAAGACTCGGTTTCTTCGAGAGAGAGAGAGAGAGAGAGAGAGAGAGAGAGAGGGAGTCTTTTGAATTTAATTCATTTTGCTCGAAGTATTTCACCGGCCGCAGTCATTCTCAGGAAAAGTCGTTCACCGTTCCGTAAGGTCTTCTGCTTAATTCCTTTTTCCTCTGTCGCGAAGCCTGAAATTTAATTAAAGGCATTATTTTTTACTATGACTTCCCGCGCGACTCTTCCTCGTTACAGCACTTATTACTATGAAAATTATAATAAGTCTAACAAGACCGAAAATACGTCATAGAAGCCATATATAGACGAAGTCATCGCCAAAAGTGGAAATGAAATATCGTTACCGATTTTCGCTGCGGTTTTCGTGCCGCGTATATATTTCGAAAATTTCGCAGAACAATTGTGCACCGTCCTCTCTGCGCCACATAACTCGCGACTAACGATATATCGAACGTCACCTCCCATCTCGACGTTCGCCCAAGTTTCGACGGTATATGTCCGGACCGCCTTTCTCGACGCCGGTAAAGCAATATAGCGTTTTCGCCGTGAATCAATTTCGCGGCCGTCACGTACTCGGTCAAGTCGTTTCTCATTGACGCTAACGGAAAGTAAGAGAAAAAGGAATTTGCGAAAGAAGCCCCGGCGAGAAGTGGGTGGCGAAACGAGTGGGCAGTTCGTAAATAGTTTTCGTTTGTCGCAAACGTGCGTGGAAAGTTAAATCGTGCACATGCAGCATAACGAATTTACGCTACCCGGGACGCGCGTGGAAGTTCCTTAACCATTACCGAGTGGTCCGGCTGGCCGGGACATTAGGCAGCTAATTAGCGTTCACTAATTAGTTTGCGCACGGACGCGTAAACTAATGTC